CCCGCCGGTTCAGCTCGTCTTGATTCAGCGACGGTTCTTTCCGAAGCTTCCCCGAACCACCCGGGGACGGACTCAGCGACGTCTCCAGATTAGTACGGTCCCTGAACGTCTCTGCTTTCTTCACTTTCGCGGGGGTTGGCTCTTGCGTTCCTTGGCTCGGGTTGCTGTGGTGACCGTGTGTTTCCCACATCTCCGGCTTCTTCAGATGCCTCGTCAGTGGCATTGGCCGGCCGGCCGTTATCATCTTCCACGTGTTCTCCAGCGTATCGTTTCGTTTCGGCTTCGTCACCCGTAATGCCCTTCCACCTAATCAGTAGTCACAGAACAATGCCATCGGAATGTTAATATTTTCCCAAATACATTTCTATGAACTTTTTCTCTATAAATTGCGATCTCTGTTCACGCATCGAACAGTGCCAGAACTATGTAATTGAAAATTGGAATCTTTATATTTCTCCATAGATTTTAGTGGCAAATAAACGCAGTTTTTTTTTTTTCTCATCACATTTAATGTCCATAAATTACGAAAAACGAAAAGAAATAAAAAAAAAAACAACAAAGTAGCATGATGAGGGCGGATTTGGCCCTCCAATGATATTATGATACATGGCACCTAGAACAAATAGGTGATACCCGGAATCACTTTGGCAACAATTTGCTTTAGCAAAGTTGATGGTGTCCCACCTGGCAGCTTGGTACAAGCGCGACCTGGCAGCTTGGTACAAGCGCGACCTGGCGGCCTGGCACAGGCGCCGACCTGGCGACCTGCGAGACATGATCATCGACAAATTTGGCATGCATATCCTAACACTCCCACGATCCTTGGAAGTTGGCCCACGTGCCGAACGATCTGGAGGGTGGTCAACGTGCATGGCAGTTACCTCCAGGAATCTCGAACCACTTAAACGACCTCACAGAAATCTCGGATATGGTGCGTGAAGCCCACACCAAACAATGCCTATATAAAGGCACCAACCCCAATGGCAAGCAAGTAAACAAGTTCTATCTCTCAGACTTTGTGATTTTTAGCTCGCAGTCTACTATGAGAGTACTGACTTAAGCATCGGAGCAACCTCGCCGGGTTAGTCACCCCGGGTCCTCTGACATTTGGTTCCTTGCAGGTCTCTAAAGAGCAACGAAGCTCATCAATTCAGCTCGTCCCCAGGCAGCTTGACACCTGGTCAGCCCAGCACCTCACAAGCAGCTCGACACCTGATCAGCCCAACACCTCACAGGCAGCTCGACACCTGATCAGCCCAGCACCTCACAGGCAACTCGCCACCTGGTCAGCTCGGCAGCCAAAATTCACTTCGACTTGAGTCATCGGCCACTTGGAAGCAGAGTTACTTAGCCAAAAAATTGGCCATCACCCAAAAATCGATCCATCATAGCAAAAACTGAAAAAGAAAAGAAACCAGAAGCATTCCCGCCAAGTGGCCAGCCGGATTCATGGCAATACGACGGGGAAATCTCCTTCCACCGCCGAGGAAATTGATGCAAATTATAAACAAAGAAAATGGGCTTCTGATAACGTGCACCAAGAAAGCCGGTACATGTTACCTTCTCGCTAAAAATCTTATCTTTATAATATATTGACAATGAGTTCAGAGAGAGAAAGAGTGAGAGTGCCGTAATACCTTCAGGGCTAGCTCTGACGATTTTCCTACCACAGAAACCAGTGGTTTCTCGGTTGGAAAGGAATATTCCGTTGGAACCTCCGTCCAATCCCTCCGCTGCGGAGTTCAAGTCAATCTAGAGATAACAAAATCATCCTCGTCRTACTCCTCCGGAGCTCTCGTCAGAGGAGTTTCAACCTCCGGATGATCGCCAGTTGTCGTTGTAGGTCGTCGGTGTCGAAAAAGGAGAAGATAACTGGGGTGAAGGGAGAAGAACGAGGGGTCGGGAGACGAGCTAACGGCCGTTCCGTTAGCCCCGCATGCGGGACAAGCTAACAGCGTGCGAAGGGACAGATGGCGGACGTTCGGCGTATGGGGCATTTGTGGGGCGAGAGCAGGTGGGGCGCAGATTTGAACTCCCTCCTCCCCCTCCTCCTGGAGGCTGGAGGCCTGGAGCTAGCGATTCCTATCACATTATTATTTTAATAGAAGAATTAATAGAAAAACAACCACTGACCTTGACAGCTTGGTTCGAAGATAAATCGTCGTGAAAAATGTGCAACTTGTGCTGAAACTTTTCGAGGAGGGAAGGGACGTCTACTACTCCTATACTCACTCCTGCACACAGCTACACTCAAATAACGCTGTGAATTGGGTGACGAAGCAAGCTGTATCCGTAGAATCGAGGGATATTTTTGGAAATCAAAATCTATGGATATTCCCACCCCTACACAATGACAATATGACATGATCTCCTTAACTCATTAATTTTCACTAATATTATAAGGAGGTAGCTAGGACAAACAGAAGCCCATCCTTTGATGTTTCCATCGGATTGGGAACATCATATTATCTATACAAACAAAATCTCTTATCTGACCTCATTGCCGTTGACATATTCCAATAATGACCTCGTTCACGCCACTCCCACGGCCCACCCCAACACTAACTTCAAACCTAACTTGTCTCTCTCTCTCTCTCTATATATATATATGCATACACCCCCTCAAGCCTCATCAACTGGTAGACAGTAGCATCACCAACTCTACATCTCTCTCTCTCTCTCTCTCATGCATGGACTCCCTTTCAATGACATGTATTACGAAGACAAACAAAAGGAGGTTCAGTACTGAACAGATTACATTATTGGAGTCCATATTTGAAACAGAATCAAAACTTGAGACCCAGAAGAAGCTGCAGTTGGCCAGACAGCTTAGCTTACAGCCCCGCCAGATTTCTATTTGGTTCCAGAATAAGAGAGCCCGATGCAAGTCAAAGCAGCTTCAACAAGATTACGCTATATTGAGAGCCAATTATGATGTTCTCGCTTCAAGATTCGACTCTCTCAACAAAGAGAAGCAGTCCTTACAAACTGAGGTACTCCCTTAATTTTTTCTTTCTTTCTATATGCTACATTTTTTTAGGTATAAAGTTGGAAGATTTCTGTGGCAATTTACAGTTACAGAAACTGAGAGGTCTCATGGACGAGCTAGAAGAAGATAGAAGGGGGAGTGGCTCAGATTTTTCTGGAAATGGAACACATGGCAGCTCAAATGATGATAAGCAGGATGCCCAGCAGGAATCTCAAGTGAAGTCTAGCCTATTACCAGAGAGCCCCAACCGCATGGTGCTTGGGCTTTGTGATGATCAGCAAAATGAAATCTTTCGAGACTACCCTCAACCACAAGAAGAAGCTGCACTTGTCAACGTAATAGAACCTGCAAACGCTTTCATTTCCGGTGATTTGTTTCAACTATCATTCAATGATGCACTCTGGTGGGAGTTCTAGCCTTAAGATATATGTATCGTCCCCATCCATTGTCTCAGAGCCTCAAAAGGGGATGATGCCGCAAAAACAGGGCTTCCAAAAAGCAGGGAAATTACAGCAGTTTAAAGCCAAAATTTCTTAATTAATGCTCATGAATATAGCTTTTGAGGATATCCTGCACGATACACAGAGAAAATCATTCATTCTATATCATTAGAAGACCAATAAATAAATAAATCTAGGACTTCGAGTTGTATACTTCATATATGGTGTGGTGATAACAATTTCAGTTCCTCACCTGTCCTATGCGGTAGCCATTTCAATATTTACTACTGCTTTGAGCCAGAAAAAGAAGATGCGGGAAGACATGAAACAACTCAAGGGAACAAGGGAAAAAAAGGGAGTATAGTTATAAGAGAAAGGGATTAAAAGCACAAAACGAGCATGTTGTTGTCATGTCTGTGTGATCTTAAGACATGTTGTGTGTGAGTGTGCATGAAAGTTTATGCTATGTTTTGATTTGGATCCTCGTATTTCACTTTCCACTGTTTGTTACCAATTTTAGTGCGTTATCTAAGGAAGAATGATCATTTGGAATTTGAAACCCTTAGAAGTGGTAATCTTGAAATCCCTCTCTTCAGTAGAACTCACATCTACAGAACTTGTTTATAAGTTCTTTGGTGAAGCTGAGGTAAAATCATTGAAATGTGATGGTTAGAATGTCTCATTGGATTTTTAGCAAGGGGTAATCCGTAGGTGTTTCGATGGAATCCGTCCTTAGATTGGCAAATAAGGGATGGGCCGGGGTTATACACAAACTTGGGAGGACAAAATTGAAATCTGACAGGGCCGTTGTGACATGGGAAATCCAGGACCAGGAGCTTCTGGTGTTGGTAATAGAAAGGTGTTCAGAAGCACTAGAGCTACCGCTTCTTCTATGAATCAGCTGGTGAGGGAACCTAATTAGAGACGAGCTACTCCCTCCCTTTCAGTTCAGCGCCTAATACCAGCCTATATTGGCTCAGCTTAGAAAGAGACTTTTGGGTTGTGATTGAGTTGTTGTCCACGGATGAACAGGTCCAGTGTCCTCAAATAGGCAACGGGATTCTCTGCACACACCGTGAAAACAGGGGAATCCTGCACACAGGCGACAACATGGGGCTATTGTTGATAGAGAGAATCAAACCATTGAATCAGTCAAACAGTTCATGGGCGATGGTTCAAATAAATGCATCCAGGAATGAGATAATCAACTATGATACCGGAAAAGCTTGTTACCAATCAACGGGAATCATAAAAGTGGTAGCCAATTAGCAATCAGGTGGTTTACATCAAAATTCTCTCGGGGTCGGGGTCGGGGCTGGGGTTTTGATTGATCAAAGTTGTTCCGGTACGTATCATCGTATCATCAGAGACAGAGAGAGACAGACAGAGAGAGAGAGAGAGAGACAGAGAGAGAGACAGAGAGAGAAGGTTTGTTGGGCCTGGGCTACTCCCAAAACCAACCTGATCAGTTTAGGTAAAACTTGCCTTTTGCCTAGGCCCAGCCCAGATCATGATATTTCAATTCAGTCATCCCCCTCCCTATTGGAGAGGGAACTGGCAATCCCTGTTATCTAGGATAGCAAACGCGCAATGATATTCTTAGACTGTTTGATTTCATGTAATAGAGAGCAACAGTTTCAAAAGCAGGATTAAAGAGGTTAGAACAGTCACTTTCTATAAGAATTGTGGAATAGAATTGGGATCTGCTCCTCACAGCCACACCCCACACACCCTGTATTGGGTATTGAAGATAATGTGCTCACGTCCAACTCAGATCAGACCAAACTGTTCGCTTAACTAATTGGATTAGTTCTGTTGTACAGCCTAACTAGATAACTTGTATACTGATCAACCAGAGTAAAATTCTGAGTTCAGTGCTGTTGTAACTTCTCTTCTTATTTATCATTTTAAATATGTGATCGGTTTTCTTCAAACTCATGGTATCAGAGCCTCATCAATCTGAAACTATGTCCACTCTATCCGGTGCAGTTGCATCAACCAATGCCCACCCATCTTCGTCACCCTCTACACCTGTTGTTTTTGGAAACAGCAGTTTCCCAAACATCATCTCAGTAAAGATGGATGGTCGTAACTATCTACTCTGAAAATTTCAAATACTTCCATCATTGGCCGGAGCAGAACTAACGGGGTATGTAGATGGTTCTCTCACATGTCCCTCTCGGTACCTTTCAGATAACACTACACCCAATCCAGCTCATTCATCGTGGGTCAAACAATACCAAATCTTGCTCAGCTGGCTCTTTGCTACTCTTACCGAACCAGTGATCGCACAGCTAGTTGGATGCTCTACAAGTCGAGATGCTTGGCGCGTGTTGGAGAACTTATATGCGTCCAAATCAAAGGCTCGAATTACCCAACTTYGGAACCAACTTCTACTTGTCAAAAAGGATGGTGATTCCATGCACTTTTACCTTCAGAAAATCAAAAACATCACTAACAGTTTTCAGACTCGGATCACCATACTTTGAATGGGCTTGGGGCTGAATACGATGCCTTTGTCACATCCATTCAGACTCGATCCGATGATCTCAGCTTTAATGAACTCCAGGCTCTCCTGATCAATCAGGAGATTCGAATTGAATCTCGTATGCAGTTTCTATCTTCGCTTCCCTCTACTAATTACTCGTGCAAGAATTCCAGTCCAAAGCCTCGACAGTTTGAGAAAGATTCCAAGGACTCCAGCAACACTGGTAAGTCTAAATATGCCAATAACCCTTGTCAGATCTGTGGGGGTCGCAATCATTTGGCTTTTTGATATCGTCATCGGTACAATCAACACTTCAAACCTAAGTCCAAGAAGACCACTGCACCCAATGACTTTGCACCAACAGCATATAACATGTCTTTGAATGCTTCAAATGAGCATGATTGTTGGTACCTAGATTCCGGGGCAACTAATCGCATAACCTCGGACTTAAGCAAACTACAACTGCATTCAGAATACACTAGTCCTGATCATGTCACTGTTGGCAATGGTGAAGGTTTGGTAGTATCTCATACTGGTTCCACTACTATATCATCTACCTCTCATTCTTTAATTTTGAAAGACATATTACATGCGCCTAATATACAAAAGAACCTATTCTCTGTGGCTCAGTTTGCTTCTGATAATGATGTTTACTTTGAATTTCACCTCACACTTCTGTTGTTAAGGATCGGCGATCGGGAACACCTCTACTTCAAGGGACAACTAAACATGGTCTTTACAGTCTACCTTTGCATATGAATAAAGCTGATGAATCAAATAAAGTTGCACTTCTCGGTGTTCGGACTTCAATAGATACTTGGCACTCTTGTCTCGGGCATTCGTCATTAGCAGTAGTTAAGCAGGTTGTGAGTCGTTTTAAGCTTCTAGTATCTAGCATGTCTTCTTCCTTCTGTTCAACATGTCCACAAGGGAAAAGTCACCGATTGCATCTTCCACAAACCAATTCAGTGCACTTAAGGCCTTTAGAATTAATTGTTTCTGATCTATGGGGACCTTCTCCCATCACCTTTGTACGGGGCTTCAAATATTATATATCATTTATGGACTTCTATAGTCGACATTTGTAGATTTTTCCTCTTTTTTAAAAATCATATGCTTTTAGTGTATTTATTAAATTCAAACAACATGTTGAACGCTTGCTTGGCCATCCTATTCGGGTGTTTAAGTCTGATGGGGGAGGTGAAATTTGTAGCTTTCGTTCCTATCTGGAAAAGGAAGGCATATCCCATCGCTTCTCCTGTCCCCATGTGCAATCACAAAATGGCAACTCGTGCTCATTGGGTTGAAGTAGGCCTTACCTTGCTAAATCATGCTTTTGTTCCACGCACTCATTGGGTTGAAGCTTTTGAGACTGCGGTGTATCTACTCAATCGACTGCCAACTCGTGCTCTCCATGGCAAGACTCCCTATGAAACACTTTTCGGTAAGACTGCGGATTACAAATTTCTGAAAATCTTTGGCTATTAATGTTTTCCATATATTCGCCCTTATATGACTCACATTTGGACTATCGATCAAAGCCATGTGTTTTTATGGGCTATAACCCCTTTCATCGTGGTTATAAATGCTTGGATCTTGCAACTGGGCGCTACTTCATCATTGTGCATGCCCAATTTAATGAAACTTCCTTTCCTTTCAAAGACTCAAGTTATTTGTCAAGCCCATCCACTCCAAATTCTGAGAGGCCCACAACAACCTTAGTGCCGCCGGTTTTACTACCTTCATCATCAAATGGGCCTGCTACTTCTAATAATGAGCCCATGCTTCTCCCATATTTGTCGTATAGTGAACCACCCACTAATTCCGACAAGGGGCCTGTACTCAACTTGGGTTCATCTTCATCCAGCTTGGATTCGCCCTCATCCATGGGCCCATGCATATCACCTACCGAGTCTATACAGCCTCTGCAAGCACAAAATATTCATCCTATGACTATATGAGCCAAGACTTGCATTTTTCACCCCTCCAAAATACTCGTCGGTCTSTACTCGGTATCCTTTATCTGATGTGGAATCCACATGCTTCACATCTGTTAATCACCATGCCCATTGGAGAGCTGCTATGCAAGATGAGCTCGATGCACTACTACGAAATGGTATAAGGGATTTGGTCCAACCCAAGCCCAATGCTAATGTTGTGGGTTGCAAGTGAGTTTATCGTATCAAACGAAAACCTGATGGCAGTATATACCGGAAAAACTTGTTACCAATCAACGGATATCATAAAAGAGGTAGCCAATTAGTAATCAGGTAGTTTACATCAAAATTCGCTCGGGGTTGGGGTCGGGGCTGGGGTTTTGATTGATCAAAGTTGTTCTGGTACGTATCATCGTATCATTAGAGAGAGAGAAGGTTTGTTGGGCCTGGGTTACTCCCAAAACCAACCTGATCAGTTTAGGTAAAACTTGTCTTTTGCCTAGGCCCAGCCCAGATCATGATATGATATTTCAATTCAGTCATCCCTCTCCCTATTGGAGAGGGAACTGACAATCCCTGTTATCTAGGATAGCAAACGAGCAATGATATTCTTAGACTGTTTGAGTTCATGTAACAGAAAGCAACAGTTTCAAAAGCAGGATTAAAGAGGTTAGAACAGTCACTTTCTATAAAAGTTGTGGAATAGAATTGGGATCTGCTCCTCACAGCCACATCCCACACACCCTGTATTGGGAATGGGAACATCTCCCCAATGAATAATAAATTCAAGGACATGCTGTGAGGGGCGCGCAGTGTGAGGACTGAGGAACATATCCGGACTCTGTAGAATCTCATGATTCATGCATGCAGATGTAGCCAAAAAATTACTCATATATATCATCGAAAATAACAATTCCATAACCTGCATAGTATAGCAACTCTGGGAAGAACTCTTGGTAGCTTTCTTTGGGGCACTTCAGCTTGAAACTATAAGCGACACCTTTGGCTTATGTGAAAAGCACATCAAGAATTTGTATTTGATTCGATCATACTTAACTTAATTTGCA